CGCGCCCTGCTCCCTCTGAAAGCTGGAGGGGAGAATCCTTCCCTTCCTTTCCCTGGGGCTGCTGGTGGTTGGTAGCAGCTCCTTGACGTTGGCTGGCCTCCAGCCGCCTAATTGCACATCTCTGTCCTCATCCTCATGTGGCCTTCTCCCGCTGTGATTCTGTCTGCACAGGGCTGACTCCTTCTGAGGACATCACCAGTCACTGGGTGAGAGGCCCACTCCATGACGACCTCGTCTTAATTTAACTAACTCTATGCACGAGTACTCTATTTTTAAATAAGATCACATTCCGAAGTCTTGGGGGTTAGGGCTTCACCACTGGGGATAGGGATGGTGGGAGACAAGTCCACCTGGAGCACATGCTGCTACTGCCTTGACTCCAATCTCCTTCTGCCACGAAAGCTTTTATGTGCCAATCGAGTCTCTACCTGGTAAGAAAATGGAATACGTGCAAAGACGGAAGGCCCTATTGGTGTGTATTGTTTTTAATTTCTTCAAAGCATTTCCACTTCATCTCAGCTGGTCCACACAGCAAACCACACTGGTCAGGCATCTTTAGTCTCGGCTTTCACAGATGAGATAAGTGTGAAAAAGGGAAGCGCCTTTCTGGGTAGCACACAGCTGTTGTGTGCCACAGGCAGATCACGGGGGTCTTCTCACCTAGACTTCTGCTGCTCCCACGAGTAACTAGAGCCTGTTATAAAGATCACCAGGGTGGGGCCATCGACACTTAACATAGGAACTGGATGTTCTCAAACTTAACAAGGTGTTGTTATGAAAAGGGTAGCAGAAGGGGTCCTGGAGCTGTCATGCGTCTTGACTGGACTGTGGACTGTCCAGAACAGTCCTGATGGACATGACCGCCACTGCCCTCCAGTCCCCTTTGTTCCTGCCGGTTCAGAAGCACTCCCTGCATTCTACCGCTGCGCCACCTAAGAACCAGGCTACACTGACGACCACGCACGTGCACTCATGCCGGGACACAGCTAGTTCCCTGAAAATAAGGAAAAATTCCTTGTCACTACCTCCTCAATAAGGAAGCAGAAGGGAATTTTGCTGAACATTTCCAAGTAGAAAGCGTATCTATTCATACTCACCTTTTCACCCTAATTCTTGGCCTTGAATCACTATTTTATATATAAAAAAAAGAAGTAAATAAATGGAAACAACACAGTGTCCTGTAGGAAGGCAGTTAAGGCCACAGGCTCGGAGACACACGAAGACCTAGGTTTAGTGCCGTGTCTGCCTCTGCCTCGCGGATGGGTCCAGACAGGACACCTGACCTCCCTTTTCTTTAACTGCATGGAAATAACAACAGTGCCGTTTCCCTGGATTGTTTCGAGAAGTGATTGCTTTGAGAGCTGTTCACGTAAAACTTAAAAGTGCTGACCGTAGTGCCTAGAAGGAACATAGCAAGTATCAGTAACATCACTGGCTTTTATTCAGTGCTCCGCACGTGAAATATGCAGAAAATGCCATGGGCCGTCTATTGAAACGTCTACGATGCTGCAATTTCTAGATTAATTCCTATTCCACACTGGCTTATTTGGTTTTTATCACTGGGCATAAGGTTGGTTCCATTTAATTAATTTCTTTCATTTCTAATCTGAACTAATTTTCACGGAAGATCTGGTCAACTATGTTTTTTTAAATTCGGACTTTTTTGAAAGTGTTCATCTACCAGGGGTGTCAAACTCATTTTCACGGGGGCCATATCAGCCTTGAGGTTGTCTTCAAAGGGCCAAATGTAATTAATTTTAGGACTGTGTATAAATATAACTGCTCCTTAACAGTTAAGCGAGATCTCAGCGCTTCTGCTGGTTAGGAACAGGGTGGAGGCCGCCCGGATTGGGCCCTCGGGCTTTGTGTTTGCGACATCTGTGATACACTCCAGTAATTTGGGGCGAGTTTGAACTGGCTAACTTTCCAGTTTTGACTACTTCTATTTTAACACCTATGTCCCTCTGGGAGCCCTGTCTTTTGCTTACATCTGTTCATCTTTTTGCCTCTTTCTCTGCAAGTATCTTTCAGCTGATTGTATCTGAGACAAAGGCAGCAGATTCACTTTAATACCTACAAGCCAAAATACATGATTTCAGCTAAGTCATACAGGAGGGGCTCTGTCATCGTGACAGGCTGCACCGTGAGATGGGATGCCTGAGTTCCTCACAGCATGTATTCCTCCGCCCCAGAAAAATGGTTTTTCTGCTCTCTCCCCATGTATACCGAGCTGATGATCCAACATTACATAAAAAAATAATAATTACTCTTATGCTGGCAAATCTAAATTTATTTTAGAAGTCTTAACGATTGCATTGACTATTGAACTTCCTAGAAAGTCATCCGATACAGGTTTAGAGGGAGTTATAAATCACCCAGGGACTATAATCCATTTTCCTGTGATTCCAGGAACTAATCAGACCAGTCAGCCCCAGGTGGGGCCTCGTTTGTTTCTCCTTGCGTTAGCACTGTTACAGGATTCTGCACCAGTCTCCATTTCAAAGGGGATCCCCCTCCACGATTAAATAACATGAGTCATAAATGTCATCTCTTAGGGTGCAACAAACCACAGGCTTTAGCACACTGTAACTAAAAAGCAACTTTTGCCATATTTTTGGTGAAAAATTAAAAGGTGGTTATATTTTCGTTCAATGATTTTCATTCACCATTTATTTTGTTATCACATGATAAGGTAGTCCAGATATGCTCCATTGATTTAAAACATTGGGGAAAAAATAGAAAAGTACCAAGACTGATATAACTACCGGCTATAAACCCACTGATCACATATTCACCTTTTAACACCTTACCTCAATATTGCTTTTCTACAGTATTTTTACATAGTTGAAGATGCTGTGCATCTGCTTCTTTCACTTAGCGTTAATACTAATCATATTTCCGTAAACATAATTTTATTGATGGTGCTCCTTTATATAAATATGCCACCATGGGCTTAAGCACACTGGTAACTAGGCTTTTACTTATTTTTAATAAATGATCCTTTTTTCAAAATCATGTTCATTTTAGGAAATTTAGAAAATATGAAAAAGTACAAAGAAGGCAAGATAAATTGGCGGTTCCATTTTTAAGGATGGCTGTGCACTTGAAAATTGAAAAGACTCTATTGATAACTGCCACTAAATGAAGGTCCATGCGGTGGCAGGCACTGTGTAATCACATTTCTAATATTTCTACTCCCCACTCAGTAACACAAAAACGTCAGTTTATTACAACCACCACTTTACAGGTTCAGAGGTCACAGGGCCACTAAGTGGTACATGCAGATTTTGAATGAATGCGTCTAACCCCAAAGCTACGTTTTCTCTTGACTATACTGCACTGCGCTCCCCATCATCACCTCTCCTCACCACTTCTCCCACCACCATCACCTCTTCTTATCATCACCACCTCCACCACTGTCACCGCCACCAGCGCCACCACCATCACCTCAATCACCAGTTCCAACTCCACACCACCACCTCCACCATCACCACTTCTACCACTGCCTCCGTCTCCACCTTCCCCACCACATTCCCATCACCTCTTCTCATCTCTCCCCCTTCCCAGTTTCCTGTCCTCCTCCTCTCCTGCTTCACTCTGACCTTTTCCAACCTGCATTACTTTACGGGCCTGGGCACCAGAGACGAAGCAAAGGCTACCCCATCACACTCATTTCAGGAACAATCCCAATCATTCATTCATCCATTCATCCAACAAATATCAACAGAGGGCATACTCTGCAACAGGCACTGTGATAAGTGCTGAGAGGACAGTAACTCCCCCACTTGCAGGATTTTTTTCAACACCAATATACTTATTTTTTAGGATTTGCTCTCACACACCCCTTGCCATATTAATCTGCTTGCAAGCTGTCAACCTGTGCTCGGGCGGGCCAGCTTGCACGGCCTGGCCTCCACGCTGGGTGGAAAGCAGAAGTGAGCTGCTCAAGAAGGACACGCGAGTCAAAAGGAAAGTCTCAAGCAATAGTCATGAAGTAATTTCTTATCGCGCATTGCCACAGCCAGCGACCACAGGAAAGAGCTTCCTGTTTCCATGCTCTGATGATGCGTGTTTGCTTCATGCAAGCGATGGTTCATACGTGAACCCTCTCCAGAAAAGACACTGATGCGTAAAGAAGGAAAACAAAGGAAATTTTAAAAAAACACTAAAGAATGAGTACACCAACAAACACACAAACTGAAGTCCTTTTCCTCCTCACGTGCGTGATGTGAGCAGGAGGGGACCCGTGTTCTTTCTGCTTGTTTTCTATGCAAAGTCAATGGCTGCAGAGGAATCGGACTCTCTGCGTGACGGTACGATGCCGAGGACGGCATTAGGAATGAACGCACAGGCACTGAGACGCTGAGAAAGTCCACGACGGTAGTCCAGGATGCACGCCTTCCTGGGCTATAACTCTGACTCCTACACTTCAATTTTTTTTCACATACACACCCTCAAAAAAAACCCAAATGCTCCAGGTGCCCCCGGGGAAAAAAACCTGTGAAGCAACGTCACCCAAGTTCTCATTTTCATGCAGAGAGATTTTGTCAAGCCTGTGACTTTTATTAAAGTAAAATCCCCTCCAGCTGCCTACACACAAAGGGGGGATTCTCCACAAAGAAGACACTTTCTCAAAAGGGGGCGGCCACAGCGTGTTTCCTCAAATGAACTCCTCGGGGACCTAAACAAACGCAGAATTGTTCTTTTCTCCATCAAACCCGTGATCTGCAGTCTGAGCAGCCCTTAACACAACACCCATTGAAGAAACAGAGCAAAGCAGAGTGAGCACTCAACTCCTCCGAATCTCGAGGAGATTTGAAGAGTGCCTTCAGCACTGGACTTCGCAGCAGAAGGTTTATAAAGAACTGCATGAATACCATATCCCAAGAGTCCCATTTTAGAGCTCACTGCTCTAGAGAGCGTGAAGCTATCAATTGCCTTATCATCTCAAAATGCCAAGCACTGACTTAAAGATCCACCAAAAAAAGGACTTTACTTACATGAAATAAGAAGGCAGTAAGTCCAAGGGCTGGCTCTTTCTCCCTGAGTTTCAGCAAACTCATAATACTCTGAGGCCAAGGGTCAGGGCCCCCCTCTGAGCAGCCACGGCTCTGGAGGCTCGGTGAGCACAGGACTACCATGAGAAGCTGACCAGAGAGTAAAGCTCTTTCGAAAGAAGGGGAAGTGTCATCGCTACTTCCCCAATCTTATTGTTCTTCCTCGTTACTATTACTGAACCTGTTCTTGATTCCAAATCCAGGACTCCATCTGTGCAAAGCAGGCACGGCCCCCCTGTCTGCCTGCACTGCTCACTGCAAGTGACCCAGTGCGTTCATTCCCAGGGCGTGTGCATGGAGCACTACAGGGTCTCGCTTTCCCGTTTCTCAGGCAAAGACGTTTATTCCCAGGCATGGGGGGTGAAATCGTTTGCAGAGCTGTTCTTGGGATAGTTCATTGAGATGCCAACTTTTTTTTAAGATTTTATTTATTTATTTTTAGAGAGGGAAGGGAGAGAAAGAGAGAGAGAGAAACATCAATGTGTGGTTGCTGGGAGCCATTGCCTGCAACCTAGGCATGTGCCATGACTGGGAATCGAACCTGCGACGCCTGGTTCGCAGCCCACGCTCAATCCACTGAGCTACGCCAGCCAGGGCCAAGATGCCATCTTTTTATCATCAACATCTTTTAGGCTCAGTCTTCATTCAAATTCCCCTTCTTTCTCTTCTCCTCATATTTCCTAATACTCTACTAAACAGAGAGTACAGATAAATTTCCAAAAAGTATCTTAGGATAAAAATAAGTCTTGGCCTGCCTGCTATTCCTTCACAGCACACATAATAGATTCTCTGACTTCAAAACCCTTCTTTCCCATCCCACATGCAGATGAAAAACCAGCAGACTGAAGGTCAGAGATATTTGAACTCATCACCAAGGATTTCTTTCCCTTCCACCTCTCCTTTTCAACACCACCAGCCTCTGGTTTCTCCATATCTTCGTGGGAAAAGAATACAATCTCACTCTACTTATACTCACCTTTCAAAGAAAAGGCAACATGGCATTAGAAACAGGCTCAGGCCCAAAGCCATTCCCCAAAATGTGGTCGGTACATCGTGAGCATGTGTATTAGCTACCTACAGCTGTGGAAAAGAGTACCCCTGACACGTAAAGGCTTACGCCAACAAACACCGGTTACCTCACAGCCTCTGTGTGTTAGGAATCCAGACCCAGCTGAGCTGGCTCCTCTGGCTAAGGGTCTCACACAAGGTCACAGTCCAGGGGTCGGCCAGGTCTACAGCTGGAAAAGGAAACTCTTCCGAGCTCTCTCACGCAGTAGTTGGAAGAACTCCATATCTTAGGGGCCATGGGGCTGAGGGCCTCAGTTCAACGCTAGCTGTCGACCAGAAGCCACCTCTGTTTCTCACCCAGGGTCTCCCTGTAGGGCAGCTCCCAGCATGACAGCTGGCCTCATCAGGATGAAAAGGCAGCGGTGAAAGAGGAGATCGAGGGGTCCGGCTCCTGGTTAAAACCCTGTGTGATCTTTCGGGCCTGCCCGTAGGTCCTCACGGGGAATGCTGACCCCCTCAACCAAACTTGGGAAGAACCAGTGCCCCGGTCTCTGAGAGGAATTGCAGTCAAGGTCAGGGTCCCCCGGCCAGTCATGCTCTTTTGCATATTTACATTCCCAGCCCAGAAGCCTTCATTCCTAGGAGTCTTCATCTGAGACCCTGGGCCAAGGTCCTCTTCAGGCGTCTCTGCTGAGGTCCCCTTACGAAGGGCGGAGGGGCAATCTCGAAGACACTTTTCCCCACCACTCAGTCAGTGCTTTTCTGTGTCTAGGCCCTGCTCCCACACATACACATACCTCAGGGTCCATAAAACTGCCAGGGCCTTTGGTTGGGGACTTCCTCACCAGTGCGACAACCCCACAGGGCTGCTGATCTACCTGACCCTCCACATGTGCACCGCTCCACGGGGAAATGGGACGGGGGAGCGGGCACTTCCTCCAGCTGTGAACTCTTGCACATGCTCTCACAGTAAGTGATCAAAGGCTTAACTCTTTCATTACTGGTCTGGCACTTGAATCAGCTGCTCCAGCCCCTGACAGCTCAGCTCTCCCTTGCCCATCTCATTGGCCCCTTGGCAGAGAGAGAGTGTGAGCAAGACAGAGTTCCCTGTCTTCTATACCTGGTGCTCAGAAGTGCTGTCATCTCACCTTGATCACATTCTCTCTCTTAGAAGCGAAGCGAGTCACTTGGTCCAGTCTACACTCCAGAGGAAGAGCTTTTACAGGGAGTCTGCATTCCAGGAGGTGGATGGGGACCAGGGGGGTTGCCTTACAGATTTAAATCCAGTATACGAAATCTTATTCAAACCCCAGTTGTCCCTGTCTAGGCAAATAGTAACAAAAGGGAAGACTCATCTAAAGATAAAATCATAAATTTAGTGGAAGCACTGGAAGAACATGTGGGACTTTCATCCAGGCATCATACCAGCCTGCAGAGCCCGCACTGGTCATTATCAAGATCACCCTGCTCAGCCCTGATAACCTCCTGACCCTCCTCGTTCCATTTCCAAGAAACAGACAAATGAACATGGAAGCAAAAGCTTCGAGGGCACCATAAAACCAGCCTAGGGCCTGGAGGGTGTCTGAAGCCATTTCAATAAAAAGAACACCTTTTCACCTAACCAAAAGCATGAGAACGTCTCCAAACAAGTCCAGAGTCGGACTTGCCTCCCCTTAGGCTCAGAGCTCCCTGACGCTGGCTTTTCTACGCTGGACGCTCCACGAATCCGCTCCTTCCTGAGAATGAGCAGGCGGGGCCTCCTGGCCTGTGGCCCCACCAGCCCACCCTGTACCGAAGCAGGTCACTGCTTTGTCAGCAAGAGCGGCTTAGACCAGGGCAAATCGAAGGTCTGTTTCTTCGTCTCCACCAACCAGGGGCGAGGAGAAAGCGTCGCTCGGGGTAGAGAAGGAAATCATTCCGCTGACTTTAGATCTTGCTAGTTTGAAGACGCGCTGATAACAACGGACAGAAACCAGCATCGCTTGATTGACAGTTTAACTGGCAAGAGGTTTAAGGGCAACATTTTCAACAGCAGAGGGAAAATCCTCTGTGGGACATGCTTTGTGTTTCTGTTTTTGCAGAAGTTTTTAAATTTACAGATTAAACGTAGCCTACACGCCAGTACACCCCCATACCCCGCAATCCAAAGGTCAGTAACCAACTGCGTTAAAAATAGCTCATGCTGTGGGGAGAGCAGAGAAAGGGAAAGTATACAACAAAGTTACTGCTAGGTAAAAGCTTTCCTTTGGAGAATAGATAAGAGTTTAAAAACTTCAGTCTCTGGTCTCAGACAGACTTCCTCTCCTTTTCTGCGTGTTTGTTTTAGGAGAAAGTAAGAAGTATGGCCACAAATTACATCTGCGGGGGAGAGAAAGGATTCAAAGAAGACACTGTACGTTTGACCAGGAGTAAAGTGAAAGTTCCCTCAGTGTCTAGTTGTTCGCACGAATGTATGTTTCTGGGAAGTGCTGTGTCATCTCGTCCCTACGCTGAGTTACCCTCGGCCTTAGGAGCATCCCAAGGCACTAGGTGGTATCAAAAATGGTCAGCGACAGTTCCAGCAGGGGCTCGTGTCTCACCAGGCTTTTAGACGCCATCATCAAAGACGCCCTCAAAGGGCACGTAATTCACAACGAGGGGGCCAGGAATGGAGCCCCTTAACCTCTCCGAGTACAAGCACCTCATTTATAAAAACAGAATGATTCTCCAGGTGGCTGGACTTTCAGTTCAAGACGGGCCGACCACAGAATCTTCTTTTGCCCTTTTCCCTCCCGTCCAAGACCCCATTAAAATGACAGGAAAAGTATAACTAGTATACAAGCCCACAGGAGCAAAAGGAAAGCTGGAGGGAGAAGATTAGAGCTCCAGAGGTCTCAGCAGGTTTGTGGAAGACGGGATGACGGAGCAGGAGTGAGAGCTGAGGGAGGGCAGAGCGGCCCGCCCTGGGGTAGGGGAAGGGCGCTGGGGCTGAGGCCCTGGCCCAGCCTTTTCACAGCCAGCAGGCACCGTCCTCAGGCAGCCCACCCCCACCTCCAGCAGCATTATGGGGGAATACAGTTCCTCCAGGTTGTTGTCATTCCTGCTCTAAAGAAGTTGAAACTGTCCAGAAAGTTCCCCTGGAGAGCAGCGCTGCAGAATGTGGGGAGTAACAAAAGAGGGAAGGAGAGGTTTAAGGGGGAGGAGTCAGGAGATATTCTACTGGCAAGAAACCAAGTGTAAGCATGTAGTTTACAAGGTCACCCAAGCAACTGATGAAAACACCACTAAACTGAAAGATTTCATTATTACGGGAGGAGTACAGAGATGAGGGAGTTTTCAAGAGCCACACCCTCAGCTCTTGCTCCCCGAGGTCAATAGATACTGTCTGAACTTGACACAGAAAGAAGCGGGTGAACACAGTGCGGGGAAATCACAAGGATGAAAAACACAAAAGCCGCTCTGGCCGGGCAGCTCAGTTGGTTGGAGTGTCGCCCAAATATGCCAAGGTTGCAGGTTCGATCCCTGGTCAGGGCACATACAAGAATTGCCCAATGAATGCATCAGTAAGTGGAACGACAAATTGATGTTTCTGTCTCTCTTTCCCCCTTCATCTCTCTTTAAAAAAATGTTAATAAACAAAAAACAGAAGAGCTAAGTGGCAAGCTGTGGCAGGAGACCTGCTTTCCCTTAGCTCCCCGTGCCTGGACCCCCAGTGCCCCGGCTGTCTGGCCTTCAAGGAGTGGCCCAGGAATCGCTTCCTCGGAGAAGCATTCTCCGTCGCTCAGACCGAGCTGTCCTGTCCTCTGCTCGCACAGTATTCTGTACATGCCTCTATACAAGCATCACCATATTGTATTATCATGATGTTTGTAAGCACATATCTCTATGCCTCTCAAGTCCCTGTCCTTACAAGGGCCGGTACTTGGTTTCAGGCTCTGGTTAACTCTTTGAAATTCTTCGCAAACTGTGAGGGAGAGTCTCAGGTTTTCACTGTGAACTGGGCCCTGCCGTTTATGCAGCTGCTGTGTTTGTAAGTTGGGCTCCTAACGGGACTGTCAGCTCTTTGAAAGCAGGGAGAAGTCAGTCG